TTTAATTTATGCCATCAAAGCTCGGGATTGTTCGTAACACAAGAACACAAATGGGCTGTCCGTTCGTTACAAAGCCTTCTACAAAATGAGAAAATTGCATCAATAGTCTCAAATTATTGAACTTTTGACAAACTCATCTCTATTCTTCTTTTCCCTTTTACACCATCTTCCCAACCATGGATTTAGGTGCACAATTAGTCATTTTCTATCAAATTCTGCCATATTAACCCGTAAAATATTAATTTTTATTGAGAAAAAACCTTTCTTTTTATTTAGTTTTTTTAAATTAAATCACAAATCGATTAAAGAGTGTCTAAACCATTTCACCATTCAAAGGTTAAGGCTAAATAGGCTGTCGAGAGCCATTTTGGCTAAATTCTAATTCATTTTTTTACCGTTTGAGAAGGTAATTGGGACCCAGACATGTAGTTATTATTGAACAATTATAGTGACGATTTGAATGGTCAAATGCTGTGGTGTGTAAAATGACATGAGTATCCCTCCATGATTTTAAATTTTCCCTACAATGAAGGGCAAAAATGACAATTGGCATAGTATGGTATGCATTTGAGTGGTCAATTGCTGTGGGCATATCAATTTTGTCAGAAATCGACCACATTCCAACAGTCAGAAAATCTATTTTGTGTGAAAAGTAAATTGCTCACAGACAGAGACTATATATGCATCCTCTCTCTCCCCTCCTTGCCAAGGTTTCCAAAGTTGAGATGGACAACGATTATAATATCTCATTTTTCAAGGCTTATTTTCTCATTTACTTATTTTTTTTTGTAAAATATTAATTTGTAAATACAAATTACCTAGATGGAAAAATAAGTATACAACTATGGTATATTGTGATATGTATAGTATTGGGGGAATAAATAAAAGTCGGTGCAAGTATCACGTTCCTCGTCCTTGCTCCATTAGAGAGGTGGGGTGGTTTATTTTGCCATAATAATGGTTGGGGGACTGTTGGTGCAATTTCTCATCTGCAAAATTGCGTCTAGGTCAAATAGATTCTCTCAAGTTTGAATATCCTCATTTTCCCTCTCTCTATATTCTCCATTTCTTCCTACATTGCACCATTCTTGTTCGTAGAAATGCCCGAACGAAAATCCAACACAGAACAAATACCCACAACTGCTCTCAGAAGATCCCCGAGGTTTCTCCAGTCTAATCAACCCGAACATCAAAACCCAGTAACCCGGAAATCCGAACCCAGTAAAATTCGGGTTCAAAATTCTTGTCCCACCCCCATTAGCTCCTCATTTCAAAGTTGCCCGAGCAATACCAAGAAAGATGAAGTTTCGACTAAGCGAAAAGAAACAGATATTGTGTCGAAAAGAACAAGAAAATTGAGTAATGGGTCAAGACGATACGCGAGATCTGATGGCAGAGCTGATGAGAGAAACAATGGAAAAGACATTGATTTGGGGAAGAAATATGTGATAGAAAGGAGGGTGACCCGGAGAAGCAAAGAGGAAGTTTCAAAGAAGCAAAAGGAAACGGATACCGGATCGAAAAGGTTAAAAATTTCGAGTAATGGGTCAAGATCTGATGGCAGAGTTGGGAAGAAAAATGGAGAAGGCATGGATTTGGGTAATCAATATGTGATAGAAAGGAGGGTGACTCGGAGTTTGACTCGGGAGAATAGGAATGTAAGTATTGAGGTTACTGATTGCATTCCAAGGGATGATTGCAGTATAAGAGTAAGGGATTTGTCAGACGAAGGAAAGGCTAAATTTGGTGTCAATTTGTCTGAGCAGTTTGAGCGTAACGCGGAGAAGAGGGTTGTTTGTCCTGGTCGAGTGACATTTTGCAAGTACGTTGAGAAGGGAAGCAATAATTTGACTGAGTGTTCGGATAAAAGAAAGGCCAAACCTAAACAAAGTATAAGTAAATTTGACGATAGAGAATGGGATGCTATAATGGCAGGAGGTGACGTAAAGGAAGGGAATGGGTGTAAAGGAAAAGCATTGATCCATGAGAACAGGAGTAGAAGTCAAATTGAGGAAGAGCATAGTATTGTTCACGGATGGACTAAGGAACAGGAATTGGCATTACAAAGAGCTTATTTAACTGCAAAACCAACGCCACACTTCTGGAAGAAAGTTGCTCGGATGGTAATGCATCTCTACTTTACACCCTCGTGTGTATAATGCTTTGATTTCCCATTTCCCTTTTTTATTTGTGGTGTTTCTCTTCTCATGCTACTTCCGCTCCAATTTATCATAGGGCTCTTAATATAGGATCCAACTTCATTGCAGTGTCATTATGGAACTGAAAAGGAGCTAGTGCAACTTAGGGCCACCAAAATTGCGTCATTTGGCAGCAACAGTAATACTCTATGTATAGGCTCTTCTAAACAGAATACGAAATAAGGGGATTTAGTTAATTTAAATTTTCTAGTTACTAAAATGATGCAGTTTGGGCCTTCACTGGTGCGTTTCCAGAGCATTTTGCAGCACTGATCCTTTGATATAAGCATTTCGCAGGAATTCTTGCTGTGGACTTATGTTTTCCTTTCTGAGGCTTAAATCAGATGTTGACTCATGATTGAGAAATAGTAAAAGAAAACCATTCTAAGTTAGCAAAACTAATGAAAAAGGGTTGAGGAATAGATGGGGAACAGAGAATTCATGAATCCGACGAGTGTAACAAGTGTACCATTGAATGCAGTGAGAGATTTCGTGCTGTTTTGGAACTGAATTTACAAGACTATTTTTTTTAAGGGCTTTTATGTCAAGCATAAATCATTTTGGATTTTCTTAGATAGCATATTTGTAAAACGCTTGGTAAATTTTTCCCTATTTTTCTTTTATTTACATCCAACGGCTGTCCTTTCACATGCCTAAAATGCCATTAGAATGTTTGTCTCCTGACATCATCCACACCGAGAGGGCTTGTGTTTATTCCAAACTTTAAGGGTCTACAGAATTGACCACATAAATCAGGGTGAATGGAATTCAACCTCTGATTGTTGAGTATGCGTGCTTTAACAATTAAGTTAATAAAATGATAAACAGAGAAAAAACATTTTGTATGAGTCAAGTTTGGCATCAGTTCTGTCAACTACATTATATGCAGTCAAAATTTCACTAAACTGAGTGTAACAACCAATTACAATGAATGTAGAACTTCTTTATCATTAGCCTAGTGGGCGATCAGAAATGACTATTGGTGTGTTAGGTTCTAATTTTACCATCTGAACAGTTGGAAGTGAATCATCGACCAAAAATGACTCTATGGAGCTCTTAGTGCACCCAGCTTATATAGAATGAAAGAGAGAAATTATATTTGATTATTCAACCATGGATAAAATTCACATCTAACGTGGATTATCATCCTTATCCCTCGAGTTTAATTAACATTGAAAACAGCAACAAGAATTTTCCCCGTCTTTATGTGACTTAAGAGGTTTGAAGTTATGCTTCTTTGTTTTCCTGCCTCTAATCTAAAGGAAAAGAAAAAGTTATAGCTTCCTTATTAGTGATTTTAAATAAGCATTGGGATTTTATGCAGGTGCCTGGAAAATCTGCACAGGAATGTTTCGATAGAATTCAATCAGAAAACTTGACCCCATCTCATCCTCGAGTGCGTTCAAGGGCAAGGAAAAAGAATGAATCACCCCTCTTGCTTTCTGCGAGTAAATTGCTGATTTCGGCTGAAACAAAAATTAAAAAATTTAGATCCAGCAAGAGGAAGAGCCTTCTTGCCCAAAAGACTGTAAGACAACTATTAGAAAAGCAGCAGAATACAGATCAAGATTATGAAGCAGATTTGTTTACAGTTCTTGAGCCAACAACAAGTCCATCTACTAAATATTTTGACGAGAATGCTGCATTCGCCACCCCAGTACAGAGCAACAAAGGACATGGCCTCCTCAAAAAATGCCAAAAAAAGTCTTCTTCAGCTCATAAGAAGCAACTTTCAAGATTAAAGAGCTCGTGCAATGCAGCTTTTGTAAGCCCCCCAGTTCTTAAACAGATTAAAAACAAAGCATTACATGAGAAATACATAGATCAGCTACATTGGAGGGAAGCCAGGAGAAAGGCAGCATCATTAAAGAATGCCAAGTGTATTAAAAGCAAAAATGACAAAACCGACAGTCATTTTGAAAATGAAAATGCAGTTAAAGCTGCAAAAGATGCTCTGATTTTCAATACACAAGAAGCTATCAATCAGCTCAGAAGTCAGCAGTCGAGCAAAATAAACATTGATGACATTGGTGACGATTGCTTTCTTAGTGATGTGGATGAAGGCGAAGATGGATTTTTATAGTCTCTTCTTTTAATCAGTCAATCCCATTTGTAACCATAACATGCTTCAGTAATCTAGCTGATATTCCATATTTGATCCTGTAATGGATCCTAGTATCCATCTGAGGTACTAATTTTCTGTAATCTGTAAGAAATAAAAAATGCCTATTGTGTTACTTTTATTCCTGTGAATTGCAGTACGATTCTATTGTTGGATGTTAGATTTTGAATGTGTAGCTACTTAATTCACTAAATGAAGAATTCTTGAATAGGAAGAAAGACTTCTGTATTTTATTTCTTTCTTGTTGAAAATAATTACATTGCTTGAACATTATACTACAAAGGAAAGAATAAAGAATCAAAACAGATCTACACTATACAAATACACAATGCACCTGAAATTCCGTTTCACGTAACAATTTTGCAACCAATTTTTATTAAATCCTTCTTCTAGAATGCCTAGCTGCCTTTCTTCTGGATAATTCTCAGCTTGCTGATCTGTTAAGGGCAGCTGCCAACAAGTGTGTTGATGTGTACTCCTCTCCAATTCTTTTCAGTCCAACTCAACTGATCTTCTATCCACCTGATAGCTTCACTTTTATTTCTCAATAACCCCCCGCAAGATGGAGAATAGATCTCTACTACTCCCATTTTGAACATACATGAATAAAAGTTTTGAGAGCCAAAGCTCTTGGTAAGAATGTCTGCCACTTGAGATTTGCTGGTCACATATTCAATTGAAATGCTCCCCTCTTGAATTTTATCTCGAATCAAGTAGCAATCTATCTCTATGTGTTTTGTTCTTTCGTGAAAGACGGGATTTATAGCAATATGTATGGTTGATTTGTTATCACGGTACAATTTTTCACTTTGTGGATGTGAAATCTGTAAGTCCTTAAACAGATAGCTAAGCCAGGTTAATTCACAGCATATGTTGGCTATTGCCTTGTACTCTTCTTTAGCAGATGATCTAGAGACAACTCCTTGCTTCTTCGACTTCCAAGACACCAAATAACTCCCCATAAACACACAATATCATGTTACAGACTTTCTAGTGTCCGGACAGGAACCCCAGTCTGAGTCACTGTATCATTTGAGTTGAATTTCAGAATTCACAAGATAGAATAATCCTTGCCCTGGTGATCTCTTTATATATAGCAAGACTTTGTGTGTTGCATGCAAGTGTGGTAGTCTAGGATTATCCATAAATTGACTCAATAATTGTACTGAGTAGGATATGTCAGGCCTCATGATGGTAAGGTATAATAATCTCCCAATCAATCTTTTGTAGAGAGCAGGTTCAGGGAGAAGGTATCCATCTTCCCTAGACAATCTTACAATCTTACATTCTGACCTAGAGGAATTTTGGCAGGAGTTGAGCCAATAGTACCTGAGTCTCCTAGGATATCCAAAGTATATTTTCATTGGCATAAGTAAATCCCTTTTGTTGATCTAGCAACTTCAATGCCAAGAAAATATTTCAGCTTCCCAAGGTCCTTGATTTTGAATTGGTTATCAAGAGAGCACTTCAACTGATTAATTGTCTCTATGCAATTGTCAGCAACTATTATATCGTCCATATACACTGAGATGGTTGTGAAAGAAGTGTCAGTTCCCTTTGTAAATAAGCTATAATCAGCTTTAGATTGGAAGTACCCTTGCTGAATGATAAAATTCGAAAGTTTTGAATATCAGGCGAGAGGCTTGCTTAAGTCCATAAAGACTTTTCTTGAGTTTGTACACTCTCCCCTCCCCCCCTTTACTAAGATATCCAGGTGGTAGGTCCATGTATACTTTCTCTTCTAAATCTCCATGCAAGAATGCANNNNAAATCTCCATGCAAGAATGCATTATTAACATCATTTTTTTTTTTGTAGAAACCACCCTTTTACTGCTGCAATTGCCAACAAAGTTCTCATTGTCACCATTTTTGCTACTGGTGAAAAGGTCTCATGATCATCCAACCCCTCTTGCTGTGTGTACCCTTTTGCAACAAGTCTTGCTTTATACTTTTCTATTGTCCCATCAGCATTAAATTTAATCTTATATACCTACTTGCAACCTATTGTTTCTTTATCAGGAGGTAAGTCAGCAATCACCTAGGTATCATTAAGTTCAAGGGCAGTAATCTCAGCTTTTATGGCAGCTCTCCATTCAGGAGATGTACTAGCTTCTAGGTAGGTTTTGGGCTCAGTGTATGAAGTTATTGAGGTCACAAATGCTTTGTATGGTGTAGACAGTTTTCCATAAGTCGTGCTAGCACTAAGAGGAAAGGGACCTGAATGAGTTTGTACCTCTTGATCATTTAACAACTAAGATGGGCGAAGTGAAGTGGCCTGCTCACATATAAAGTCTTGGAGGTGTGCTGGAGCCCTTTTTATTCCGTTTGACCTTCGAGGTAAGTGTGTATAGGTGGTTTGTTCAGATTCTGATTCATGCAGAGGATTGTTATCAGGTCCGCCAGCTTAATTTGTTTGCAAACTAGGTGGTTCAGGAGTAGCCATGTCTGTCATATGGAGATCAATGGTATTGTGATGAGTGGACAAGATGGTATTGGATATAATAGGATTTTTAGTATGACTAGGCTCATTGGGGCTTGGTAAAGAGTCATGATAGTTCATTTTTTTAATTTTGAATGGAAAAACAGTTTCCTAAAAAATCACATTTCGAGAGAGAAATTTTTTTCCAATGTCTAAATCTAGTAGCTTATATCCTTTGGTGACGAAGGGGTATCCAATGAATATACACTTCCTGGCCCTATGATCAAACTTATGCCTACCTTAGACAAGAGTAGTGGCAAAAGCCAAACATCCGAAAACTTTGAGATGATCGTAATTTGGTTTAGTTTTGAAAAGAATTTCAATAGGGCTTTTGTAATTTAACAAAGGAGTTGGAGTTCTATTTATCAAATATACAGCTGTTAGGACACAATGATTCCAATATTTTATAGGAATACCACTTTGAAACCTCAATGCTGTTGCCAAGTTTAAAATGTGTTGATGTTTCCTTTCCACAGTGGCGTTTCCATATATGTTGTTTGATGTATAATCCCGTTTTGTAGGTAAAAATCTTTCATGATAAACTCCCCTCTATTATCACTTCGAATGTTTTTTTACTTTTGTTTCAAATTGATTTTCTACCATAGTGCAGATATGTTGTAAAATAGTGGTGGCCTCTAATTTCAGTTTCAACATGTAAATCCAAGTGCATCTACTGAAATTGTCTACTATACTTAAAAAATATTTAGAACCATCATGACTAACTTAATTGCAAGGGCCCCAAATATCACAGTGTATTAGCTCAAAATAAGCATTGGTTTTGTGCGGCTATCAGTAAAAGGCAGTTTGTGTTGTTTTACTAATGGACAAATAACACAAGGTTGATCATTATGTGATTTAGGATAAGAAGAATGACCCAACCTGTAGTGCCAGAGGTAAAAAATTTATGCATTGTTGATAGAAGCAGGAATGCTAGTTTTCAGGTTGTGTTTGAGTAAGGCGTTTGATAGGGCTAAAGGGGAGACCTCCTCTTGCAACATATGGTAGATTCCTTGCTTCACCTCACCCATTCGAATCGTTGTCCATCTCAGGAGGTCCCGAATGTAGCAACAATCAAAGAAAAAAATAAGACAACAATTTAGTTCTCGAGCCAATTTCTTGGCTGAAATCAAGTTGAAAGAGAAATGAGGAACACGGAGAGCATCACTAAGTGTGGGTGATTTTGTAACTTTGGTTGTTCCTATGAAGGTAATAGTTACTACTTTCCCATTTGGTAGAGCTACTGAGGATAAGACATCAGCTTGAATAGAGTGAAATAAAGATTTAGAACAGATCTTATGATCTGTTGCTCCTGTTCTAAAATCCTTGGAATGTCACAAACTCTAGGAGGTTTAGAAGTAAAGGCAAACAAAGAACATATAACAGACATTTTATGATTAGTAGAAGAAGACGCAAGCATGCTTTGAACATTGTTAGCCGAAGGAGTGAAAATTTGAGTGCTAGGGACGGATTTTAATAGTACCAAAAGCTGTGAGGACTATTCTTGAGTTAATGTATCTGGGATTTGTCTTTTGCATTTTCCTGATCAGAAGTTAGAACTGCAGCAACATGATTCACCATGGTCTAGCCTTCCCATCTGACTTGTGGTTTGTTGGATATCCATTCAGTTTGAAACACCTCTTGGCTGTGTGGCCAAGCATTTGACGATAAGAACATACAGGTCTATCGGTGTTGGCCTTGAAGCATCTGTCCTAAAAGTGCCCTGGAATCTTACAGCAGGTGCAATAGTACCTATCCCTCTTCTGTGATCCACCAGATTGTTTATCAGTATTGCCTCTGCTTAACAATGCCATAGAATCATTGTTCAAACCATTAGTAGATATTTCTCTCCTCTTGTTGGACAATTGAGTATACTTCATTTAGGCTAGGAGAAGGCTTGATTAACAGGATTTGAGCCTTTATCCCTTTGTAGGAGTCATTGAGGCCCATCAGAAATTTCATTACCCAATCTTTTTGCTGATTTTCAATCACAACTTTCAAGCCTCCACAAGTGTAGTTAGGAATGGATTCATAATTCAACAATTCATCAAGTAAGGTTTTAAGTTTTGAAAATATACACACAGAATGCTAATTTTGCATCAAGGTTTTAATGCCTTGTTTTACCTCAAAGATCCTTGGTGCATTTTGTTAAGCAAAACGTGGCTCTAATTCCAACCAAAGTTGATGAGCAGTCTCTGCATAAACTGTGCTGCATTTGATATCCATCACCATTATATTCTGCATCCAAGTTATCACTATATCGTTACATCGCAACCAGTGTTCCATTAGAGGATCATTGGGGTCTGATGGCTCACAAATACTGCCATCTATGAACCCCAACTTTTTCTTAATGCGCAAAGCTCTTTTCATGGATCTAGCTCATGAATGGTAATTGTTTGAATCCAGAGTGTGTGTGACAAGCATTGCACCCGAGCCATCACTGCTACCAATGTAGAAGGGATTTGTGGGCTGAGTTGGATCATGA